GAGATTTTGATAAAAGTTAATAAAATGTGTGATCGAAAAATTGTGATTTTTATAAATTACGTTATTAAAATTAATTGTTAACTCTAATTTACATTTTCAGTTCCACTAAATAATGGCTAACCAACTATTCCATTAAGCATGTGGTGGAATTTGATTAAGGCCTAATATTTCCCTACGCACAAAGTCAAAGATTCTGCCACCTGGCAAGGCCGCCCTGCCAGTTGTCCTCTTTCTGTGCAAATCTACTTAATTTTTAGACGGTGAGCTTCTCACCTCACTCACTTGTGTGCCAAATATTCGAACGTGTCGTTTCAGCATTATATCTTGAAGAATCGAGAATTCACGCGTCGTTTTTATAAAGTAGTGCCGCGTTTTGCTTGCGTGTGACAGAACCACACGATTATTTTGCCTGCCGGTGAAGTTTGCATTGAGATTAATACAAAATAAATGAATAATAATGAGTAATAATTCAGATATGTAATTAAAATTATTGTCTGAATTGATTAAATTTATGAACTTATTTATAAATTGTATTCAAACGGAAGCTTAGGGTGTAGTTGGTTTGCATTTTCGTTTTCTATTTTGAAGTATTATTTTCGAATTATAGAAAACGTGTTTGGTTTGTTATTTTGAAAAAATATTTCTCAAAATAGAAAACTAGAAAATGCTTTTGGTTTAAAATTTTTAGAAATTATTTTATGACATTTATTCAATTAATTTGATTATTTAGTAATAATAATTTTAAGCTAATACATTACTAGATAATATATATTTTAAACTTGGTGAATTTACTATTTTCTCTTACTACAAAAATAAAATAATAAATAATAAATTTTTAGAAATTTTTTATGACATTTATTCAACTAATTTGATTGTTTAGTAAAACATAATTTTAAGCTAATGTATTGCTAGATAATATATATTTTAGATTTGGTGAATTACTATTTTTTCTTGTTACAAAAAAAAATAATAAATAATAAATGTTAAGAAATTGTTTTATGACATTTATTCAAATAATTTTATTATTTAGTAAAACATAATAATTTTAAACTAATACATTATCAGATAATATATATTTTAAATTTGGTGAATTTACTATTTTAAAAGTACTGCTAAGCATTCCTAAAAATTATTTTATTAAAAAATCCAAAGCAAAAAAAAAAAAATCGCTTTGGACATTTTGGAAAATTAAAAACAAAAAACAGTTGAAAAAGGGCAAAGGAACGCCACCTTAATATTTTGGTCCACTCTTTCTCCCCATCTCTCTGTCAATATTGCCACTCTAAAGCAGAGTTTACATTTAAATATTCAAATAATAAATTTATTATTTTCCCTAACTTATAAATGAAAAAATATATATATTCAGCAAGTAATTCATATCATAGTTTCAAAATAAAGAACTTTTTCGTTATTCATTTTTACTTATTTAAGAAATTATTGTTTTTTAAAACCTATTTACTTACGTACAAGTAAATTTAAAAGGCAAAATTATGATCGAGCTGCCCTTGGGATATATCACAGTGGTGCAAAGGATAAGGGTGGTGTATACTCAACCTTACTGACAGTCGTAGTGTGAGGGTTCGATTCCTGAAACATGGATTCAAACTCTTTGTGGGCACCAGTGTACAGACAACTCTTGTTTCCTAGCCTGTTGGGACACATCCCGCGATTAACCTCTTTCACGATACTTCAGGGACGGGGCGGTGGGAGATCCTTAAGGATGGGGTTCAACCCTTTTTTTTAATGATCTAGCTTCCTAACTTTTCGCATAATGCAGTTATGGGCACACAGTCGAAGGTTTATTGAGTTATCAACCTATTTAATATGTAAAATGGAGTTCCTAATTAGTGAATAAAATCGTCAACGTGAATATTATAAATCGTGGACAACTTTCACATGATTTAAAGCTTGATAGGAAAATTGTCAGCCGACGTAATATTTCTTTTCAATTTAACTTAAATCCTAATGCTAGCGTTCCTAGCCTTGAATATATAGCAGATTCTAGCAATGTCAAAGAATCTTGTTCTAATGTTTGCATCACAGTTTCCTAAATTCACATATATTTACATAAATAGAGGACTCAGAATTTTACGTTAAAAATTCTCAAATATTCTACGTAAAAAGTTAGAGAAGTTAACCCTAATTTCTCGGCATCTAACCCTACCCAAAAATGGTATTGCGTGTCAAGAAGAGTAATGGATCCAGCATGGCTCCTACTTCCTTAGACACGAAGCAGCCGCCCATGTGTAAGGGGTATTATGGTAATATAACTTCATTTAGTGGTAAAGTACCACTTGTTTTTCTATTCTTCTTTATTTTAAGTTTTCCTTTGGCCTTTCTGGGGTCTAAATTCCGCTTGGTAATGTTCTAGAAAAAACGGGAGTGAGAGTCGTGACCAGTGATTAGCACACGTGGCTTAGCTGAGACGTTTCTCATGAACCTTAGGTGTTTTTCTAGATAACCAACCAAAAAGGAAATTCCAAGGTCACTTATTGTAAAAGGTTTTTATTGTAAAAAGTTCTAACACGCTATCCAATCAAATTCAATCATACACCTCACTTCAACCGCCCACTCCCCCATTCCCTTCAAATAAAAGATATTTGATATATTAAAATTTATATAATAGTTTATAAGATCTCATATGATATTTTATCATTAGATAATTTAAAACATAATCAATTTTGCTATTCAATCATTTCACTTCAACTCATCTTTTGACACTGTTTCTGAACGATTTCTTCTGGCAAAGTAAATTAATTCAACGACAATAGCATTCAACAATTCAACTAGATTAATCGGTTTAATTGGAAAATTTGAAATAGATATTTGCGTGATTAAAAATCGTTGAAATAAGATAACAATCGATTGGTCCGGCTTGAAATCATTATGATTATGTTACTTAGGGTATGTTCGGAAGTGATTTTGAGAATTGTGGAGGCCACCTGTGAGAGAAGAAATAAAAAATTACGACTGGAATAGTGAAATAATGGTCAAAAATCAATTTTTTAGGTGAATAATCACTCCCAAATGGGGGGCATTAGTCATGCTACTTGTACAAAATTAGTTGATAAAGTTTGTTTACAAAACTACATCTACACAAATTATTTCAAAAACACCTTTTTAAATAATTTGAAATCAAAGGTCAAGATTCTGCCAACACTTATTTTGTCAATTATTTTTGTCCACTTATTTTGTACAATTAAATTAATTGATAAAATATACTGTTAAATGGTACAAATTCTTTTCTAATATAACTTCTAAAAGGGACTTTGTGGAGGCATAGCTCGACTCTACACCCTACCCATACTGTAGACATTTCTTGTTTTGACTGCCCACTTACTTTGTGCAATGTATGAATATGATAAGGATGAATTTGTAGATAATTCTAGGACCTTAAAAAAAGCTAAATTTTAAAGCACGGAACCGCGTACAAACTTCCATTTTGAATTTTCTAGGATAATATGAAGTGTCTTCGTGACAATTCAATCTTTTTTACACAGAAATTTAACTGGTCTTCATTTAATTAATTAATGTACCCATTCAAGAATTCTTTCCACAATTTAGTGGAATGGTGTAAATTCATTGCATCTCATGATTCAATTCATTCAGCTATATAATAACATTAATTAATTTAATTAGAATACTGGGGCGTTTGTTTCCCATTTTTGTAAAAATAAGAGTAAAAAATATAGCCGTTATAGGTTCTATACAAGAGATATAAATTCAAATCTGGTGGTTTAATGTGATGGATAACGATCATATTTTTCATTTTAATGTAAAAAGAATTAGAAACAAACATGGACTACATTTTATTTCATAAAAAAGTTAGCTCTAGAAACACTAGCAATATATTTCTAGTGCTTGTATACTATACAAAGATTAAGATTTTCAACATTTGTTGTAATATTGTTTAGTATAGCTTAGGGTAGTTTGACATGATTTTTAAAAAGTCAAAATGAGCTTTTAAGGTTTAAAAGCAACTTTTAGGCTTGTTTGATTAATTTTGTACCAGAATTTCTTTTGATTAAAAGGATTTTTAGAGGAAGTTGGTACAATGTGACTTCCTCTAAAATCGCTTATGAATATAAAATTATTTTAAAAATTAGTTTTCAAATAAAAATTGAGGTACTTCCTTTAAAAAAATTTCTATAAGAAGTATAAATAAAAATAATGTCAAACAAACCTTTATATTGCGTGTTAAACTTGTAAATGTGAATTAGCTTTCTTAAATATCGTCCCTGTTTGACAATCATTATTTAAAAATTCTTTTTTTCACACTTCTTTACAACAACACATTTAAACAAGAAAATACTTTATGCATAAAATCAATTTTTTTTTTTAATTTCTAAACCACATATTTCATATTTTTTTTAAATTCACTATTCAAACTTTTTTTTTTTTTTTTTAAATAATGTCGATCAAATGGGGCACCAAACCAACTGTGAACCGTAAAATCTTGCATGAAAATGTAATAATAACTTAATCATTTCCCAAAATTGAAAAAGGAATCATATCATTAAGTCAGCAAGTGAATACAAATTACCTCAAAACATAAAGCACTTTCAGGGGAAAAATAAAAATAAAAATAAAAATCCTAATATGCGTGTTTTTGTTTTGACTTGGAAAAAGTCATCAAAGAACAAAGAACCTTCATTGTCAAAGTCTCACACACACAGACACACAGATAGAGAGTAGTTTCACCACCCACGCCAGTACCACCCCCACTCACCCACCCACCCTTACCAAAATTCAATCCCACTCTTATTGACCGATTACACCCTCTCCACCCAACACCTCAACCCAGTCTACACCGACGTGTGAACCCCACTCTATAATCTTCATCCTTATTTTTGATTAATTATATATAATTTCGGACTTAATTATTTTTATTAATTATGTAATTATTACATATTCTCTTACCTGTACTGTTCTGTACTGAACTTCCCCACGTAACTTCCAACTCCCCCTCCCTTTAAACACTATATATAAACCTCTCGAACCTTGCTTTACACATTCACTCTAATAACAACTAAATAAATTACTCCAGCTTTATCTCCTCTCTCTCTATAGTTTCTTGATTTTCTGGTGAAGAAATAGATAGTGATTATGGCACTCGAAGCTTTGAATTCGCCGGCGGCAGCGCCTACACCTGGCCTAAAGTACGACGACGTCGATCGGAATCTTGATTCATGGACCAAAGGGAAGCGCTCTAAGCGTTCACGGAGTGAAAATCCGCCAACTGATGAAGAATACTTAGCTCTCTGTCTAATGATGCTTGCTCGCAGCGGCGGAGACGGCGGTCGCTCCGCCATCATCAGTCCCTCGGTTAATACAGCCAATCCCGCTGCCACAACCGTAAATCTTCCTACCATAGACGATAGCAAGAAGCAAACAGAAAATTCTACTACTCCGCCGCCACCGACGACCCAGAACCAGTCATACAGCTGCAGCGTGTGCAACAAGACTTTTCCGTCGTACCAAGCACTTGGCGGACATAAAGCAAGCCACCGCAAGAACGCCACCGCCACGGCTTCAGACGATGGCAATCATTCGACGTCAACATCCACCACGACGGCCTCTCCAATTACTGCTTCTAATGTGTCTGCTCTCATCCCGAGAGGTAGACTACACGAGTGTTCCATCTGCCATAAGTCTTTCCCTACCGGCCAGGCTTTGGGTGGTCACAAGCGTCGCCACTACGAAGGCCCCATCGGTGGCGGGAGCTCCAAAAGTGGAGTAACCTCCTCTGATGGCGGCGCGTCCAGCCACGCTCCAAGGGACTTCGATCTAAACCTACCTGCAACGCCGGAATTTCCATTGCAGTTGACCGTTGACTGTGAGAAGAAAAGTCAATTTCTTGGTGAACAAGAGGTGGAAAGCCCTATGCCTTTCAAGAAACCTCGTTTACCTTTATTTGAGGAAAGATAATAAATTTGATTTGATTAAATTTAGCTTGGTTATGTAATTCATTAGGAATGTATTATCGGAACAATTTATTTATTCATTAATATATATAAAATTGTTATTTTGAGCAGTAATTTCTTGTTTTAGGCTTTGTCCTTACCTTTCTGGATGAAATTCATTGGAATAGTTAGTTATTGTACAAATGGACAATAGTGGTTTTTGTGCACGTCCATGAGTTTGTGGCTGACATTAGTTTCCCATGTGGTGCGTGCCTAAAATTGCATATATTCATTGTTAGCAAGAACTAATGATTAGTATGCGATTTGACATACTTGTTCAATTTTTATTATTTTTAAAATATATTTGTTAATTACACATTATTCAATAAAATAATATTGTATGAAAATTTAAAATTTATTCTAATTTTTTAACAATATATTCTGCATCAATCAAGTATTTAGAAATGCATTCTTCAATAAAAATTGAGTTCAAACAAACTTGAAGTGTGCTTGGAGAAATTCTTGTTAGATCACTAATGAGAATGTGCAATGGACAAATAGCTAGCTTATATCGACGTGAATCTTTACGTTCATACTTCCATTTATCAATTCATTTTAGGTCGATTTACTAATCAATGTTCAAGGAAGTTTTCGCTGTAATTTTCAGTTTTAGGTCATGTTTGATTCACATTCTTTCAAAAAAATAATTTTAAATAGTTATTTGATATAATTTCAATCACATATCTTTAATAAAATAATGTTATACACAAATTCAAAAATTTTTCGTATTTTTTAACCACACATTTTCTATCAATACACTATTCAAAAATACATTCTTATAGAAATAATGTGGCTCAAACAAGGGCTTAGTATACAAAATTATGTACCAATAATTTTACTACAATTTCATATGAATTGGAAAAAATTTATAAACGAATCAATTTATAAGTTGATCAAAATAAGTAACGAATAAATCAATAATAATTATTGATCCATTAAATTTTTAATTGAAAATAAAATATGATCACTTATAAATTAATTTATAAAGTTTATTAATGGAAGTTTTATTTTTTTAATATATACATGGTCACGGGCACGCCACCTCTTATCATCTGTTGCAATTGTAGGCAACACTCCCTCCATTAAAGCAACTTGGTTTGTGCGTAGCCGGCTAGGTGTAAGTTATTCTTATTCATGCCATATTTAAAAGTTATTATTTGGAATTACTTTTCGTCCACACTTATTTTTAACCACATAATTTACAAAGAAAAAAAAAATTAATTTCACATTTTTTCATATTATTTTCATATATTTAAATCACACATTTCTTGAAAAAAAAATCGAAAAATCACTTTTACTTCACACAAGCACTTAATAAAAATGGATTTAGGTCGACATCTCAAAGTGGTTTTTGAATTAGCGCATGAGAAAAACTATTTTAAGAAAATTACTTTTAGATAACATATAATTTAGGGCCCATTTGTGCCCCTTTAATTTCAAAGAACGATGAATGAAATAATGATTGATGTTGAAATATGTGATTAAAAAAAAAGAACAATTTTTAATTTATTTATAATGTTATTTTAATAAAGAATATGTGGTTGAAAATAGTTACTCTAGAAAAAATAATGTAGTAGAACGTTATAGAGGGGTTGACAAACAGGGGCTTAATAATCAATATGAACAAATGTGAAAACAATAAGATTATTAATATTATGTCTACCGTGGCTTGATATTATTGTTTTGTCAATTGACTAAATAAATAAAAGATGAAATATCTTGCTTGAAATCCCACGTGTTTTATAAAACCCAATTTTGACATTGACTAGAGAAAAGGTCATAATAAAAAGTTAAAAGGTTCGGTCAAAATGAACTAAGATATAGTAAAAAGTAATTATGAACGTCAAAATATTAAAATTTTATTGCATAGAAAATATTCACAATATTAATTGATTCTTACTCGTCGCACTATCACAATTCGTCAAATTACATCTCAATTTTTCTCGATATTCATACCAAAAGATCATCTCAAATGCATTTTATGAACAGTCATTTAGGTGACGTACAAATTAAAATACTTGTTATTTATCGAAATTGTCCTAAATAATGTCTATTTTTTGTCATGTCAGTTTAATAAAGTTATGCACCGCCACATCCATTATACATCATTCAGTTAAGAGAAGAAGAAGTAGTTGCCACTCAACTCGTTACTTGTCCTTAATTAATACAATGTTGTTTGGTAGACTTAGTGTTTCGTCAAATCAACTTTTTTTTAATTGATTATTGTTCGTGGTCATAACTATCCTTAACAGCTAGTTTGAAAGTGCCCATTGCCGAGTCGGTCACGCGTATAACAGGGTTTTTCCGGTCTTGTACACCAACTCATTCTATATTTATTTTCTTGAATTACCTAACAAACAAGTTCATTCTTATTTTTTGGAACCTATTTGTTGAATATAGAATTTTCTTTCATTCCAGAACAAAATCTCATCCACTCTAATAAAATGAAAAATGTCATCAACAAACATAGATTCATATCAATTCTAACATCATTTCGCCACGAGTTTCCTCCGAGATAAATTGAAGGCGAAATTTCCTTATGACTCCTTAAATTATTTTTCCAATAAAAATGTTTAGTTTCTTTTCGAATTTTCATTATTGTCTTACGATCAATCTTCAATAATGAAAATCGAAATATATTTTTCTTTAAATTTTTTTATCGACGCAAGTTGGAAGGCAAAGTTTAAGTTCATAAAGTTAAAGATGTAAATGAATGTTACTCGATCGTATAATAAGAGACCTATAGAAGATTGATTTTGTAATTATAACAAAAATTGCAGGCTAACTTGATCTTGTATAAATCAACAAAGAGCATTGGCGAAATTTGACCCAACCCACTCAAATTATAGAAATACTTGAATTCAGGAAATTAGTGGTAAACCCCTGTTTGTTTCTCATTATTTGCCCACTAAAATGAAAAATATAATCGTTATCCATCACATCAAGTCATCATATTTGACTTTCTATATATATATACACATACTCATACACTCCGATTTTATAAAATTTATTTTGAAAATTCTATATTCTTTTAGAATAAAACTCCTTGTATACCATGTACACTCCCTTCACATGAAAGGAAGGACCCACATCCAATTTATGTTAGGGCCCGCCCCCATGTGAGGGGGTTGTACACCGAGTATAGCATTTCCGATTAATGTAGCTCAAATAGGACTATGATTTGGTCAATTCTTATATAAACCACACAAATAAATGTTAAACACGTGAATATTAGGACGGTGTGTTGGACATTTTCATTCTTAATTCAAGCTGGCCTTCACGTGTTCCAATTTTGTACTGGGCCACCGATTGGAAATCTTCGATGCTGATTCGGCCTATATAGCTATCTTGGGCCGCTTATGAGCGCTAGTCACATTGGAATCACGGTAGGCCAAGAAGTCTTCTGGACAGCAGTCTTTTATGGGCAGTTGACAAAAAACTACACAGAAAAATAAAGGAAAATTGCATATCTAAGAGTTTAACTATTACCCACTTTAAAACTAAAAACAAGATTTAAAACTTCAAAAAATTAGAAATTATTAATTTTTTATGAAATACTTAATTAAATATATCTTTTATTAATTAAATATATTAAGGTCACAGTTCTATACGATTTAGTCATGAATTATCTAATTAATTGGCTACAAATTATTTTTTTATCACAAATCAAAAATTTTATAGGTCACAAATTATTTCTCGATCACAAATCAAAAATCTTGTAAGGCACAATTTATTCATCAATCATAAAATCGAAAATTTTATAGGTCACAATTCATTTACTGATCATAATTACAAATTTTATAAGTTACAATTTAATTATTTCAGGATCACATAATCAAATTAATTGATCACAAGTTATTTTTAAATCACTACTTAATAAACCATAAGTCAAGATCACATTTTTAAGTCACATTATTTATTGCAAATTAACAAATAACTGGAGTTAGGAGTGGTGGATTAGCTTAATTTTATAATAATATTATTATTAATATTTAAAATTTAAATTATTATCTGATTTTTGAAAGTAAAACTTGGAACTCTTAATTATGACTTGACCCTTTGAGTTGTGAAAGTACCATGCACAATTGAGAAGAGACCTACATTTTCATGCAGTTGGTAACTTCTATTTTGGGAGAAAATGCATCACAATTTCCATTCCCCATTGGATCCAAAGTCGTGTACTCGCCATTTCATTTTATTTCTTAAATGGGAGGATCCAGGTCTAGCATGTTGATTTCATTCAACTTGCTATATAACAAAGTAGAGTTTTTTCTTAGGTCATTATCCATTTTTGATCTTCCCTTATCCTCCTTTAAGCAAATATACTGATAGTTTCGCTCACTCTATGTTAGACTGAACACGATTAAATATAACCGAGACTGATAAAAATCGATATAGTTATCCTCGAACCTATGAATCAATTGCAATAGCTGCATTACAAATTTACATCAGATTTCATTTCCATGAAATGAGAAGTATATAGAAGAAGAAAGAAATGCTATTAGCTAATTAATGAAAAGGAAATATAATTTCCTTCTTCTATTCAATATCCGGAGTACAGAATGGAGACATCAATGTGTTAACAAAATGCCAAAATGATAATCCAAGACTCGTCATCCAGTACCTTCGATGCAGCCTTCACTAGGTTGAAAGCTTCGTATGATGTTAGCATCTATATTCGATAGTCAGATGAGGTCAGTTGTTAATGTGTCGTCAGGCAGTTGATACGCGGATTTTTTGTAATATACTTGTTCTCAGACTACTGTCTTTGACCTGTTTGAATTATATATGAGAGGAAAAATAATCAATCATTGATACAAAAGACCATCTGGCAGAGTTTGAAGAAAAACGCTTTTTACCTGCATGGCTGCTAACATGGATATAAGATCTGTGCATTGTTCGAGCCAAACTCGCTCTTTAGCCGTAACTTTCGCTAGTTCTGCCGTCAAATAATTTACTTCCTCAACCTGCAAAAAGATTAATATGATTCGGGCACAGGTCAGCTATGTAAATAGAACAGCTTTCAGCTGAAAATCAAATTGATACCCTTTCTTCTTTTTCTTCTAGCATAATAAGTAGTGACTTCGAACATTGTATGAGCAACTAATCCCGAGACTTAGTGGAATGAACTGAACTTGAAATCTTTAGGATGCAGCATAAACTAATTAATGTATGGTAAGAGTAATACATCAGCTAGACAGGGCGACGGTCTTACGTCTATAAGAGAATGGAGCTACTCCACCTAATAGATAGGAACCCCAGGCCCAACAATTGGTATCAGAGCCACGCCCTAGACTACCCATGAAGATGCACCAAATGAATCTCCAGACACGTCCAGAAGATTTGAACGAAGATGTGGGCCCTAGTTCATCGTGATGGTGAGAGATCGTGAAGGTGAACTCTTAAAGGGAGAATCCTCCATTGTAACAAGAGTATCATGATGCAATAGGGATGATTTTGATCTCGTGGTTGCAACAAGATGGAACGAAGAGACATCACTTGATCATTTGTGGGAAATGCAAGAAAATTCCCACCTCAACTAGACGGGATAGTCTTGGGTGTATAACAGGATTGGTTTACTTCAACTAAAGGTTAACCTTCTGGGAGGAGGAAGTCCCCCAACAATCAATTATTTAACAAGCATTTAACAAGATAAGAGATCAATCCTAAGCACAGGTTCTTCTATTTGCAGCAAAATGAAAGCAGAAGCCGAACATGTCACACTTCCATTGGATTTACACTCCTAGAACAAACAAAAGAAAAATCCAGCAACACAATCTCCATTTGAATTTATTTTTCAATACTCAGCAGTGAACTGGTAGGCCTGTACTGGATTGCATTGTAATATTGCATAGTACTAAATTCAAAAAAACTACAACAATCAAGAAGCAGCATCTGAGCAAATGTGAGTTCATAAGATTACCATTGGCAGAAGTGAACATATTGATGACGTCATAGCCTGCATAACATCAACTGCTGAACCAATAGCATCCTTCAAGCTCTGGATGTCAGCCTGTGAAAATTGAAAAAAAATTGTTGACTTAGTCAAACACGACCGGAATTTGTTTTCAACTTGAGAAACTGCTCACAACATTAGAAACTAAGCAATAAGTATCTTGAGACCATACAGTTGCTCCTCCGACGACAGGAAGACGAAGAGTGCTAGCCTTCAAAGCTTTAATAGCTCCAAGCAAAGAGATGGACTGATCTTTATCCAGAGAACCCCAATCTTCTAAAAACATCATCTGCAAGATGACGAAGGAAAATAAATACTCACATTCAATTAAATCACATAACAAGTGTGAATTCACAAACCAACCCCCAATTATGTTTCAGCAAAAACACAATCTATATTATATAAGAGGAAATCTTCTTTTATACATAATATAAATGGAGTTTTCTTATTACGATCCTGTTCTACATGTTCCATGACTCTTGTGAAAAGAAAAAAGACATGCACCAATTTTTTTAGTTATATCGTCGTGTGCAATGGAGTTCTTGAGCATCATTCAAGACAAGAATATTATATATTATACCTACAACAACTTACGATTAAATAGATCTTACAAGGTAGAACCAACTTTTTCTTTTTGAGGAGGTAACAGGTACATTTTCAGTACTATAAGTGTGACTACAGGATTTCATTGTTTTATCAAGAAAGACAGCTATATGACTTGTAATTAAAAATGTGGAAACTTAATTCAAATACAGATCTGGAGGCATATACATCATGTAATTTACCTCAACTTGTAGTTTTGATATTCCAGCAAAGACAACCCATAAAAAATTTCTTCATGCAATTAAACATTTTGTTCAATAATTAAGGGCAAATAGTTCTATGACAATTATTGCAGAATATGAGTACGGCTTTCTTATTCAATTTTGTCAATCCAATTTCATGTTAACAATTAATAGTGGTAAATCTCATTTAATAATTCAGATTCCATCAGGTCAAGCCCTGGTTGTTGGGAATCCATGTTACACGATCATTTTGCACAAATGGTCAGACAGGATTCTGTTATACGAAAACAGAAATAGTGAATAAAGCTTACTTGTCCCTTGAGAATGGAGGCTAGCTTTAACTTTTGTCTAAGCAACTGCAATCGGTGTCTTTTTTTGGTGACAGTGTCGCGTAGTTCTGAGATTGTTATCCATGCATTCCATAGATTTTTCTGGTACAGAAAAAGATTCAATTTGTAACGGAATCAGGTATGACTCACATATGCAGTATGAACATGTTCAAAGAACTGACTTCAGTGAAGGCCCAAATACCTAGAATCAGACATACTAATTTGTTCCACTCATGAAAAGGAGAAATACAAAGGCGTTCATGTGATTCAGATATAGATATGAATAGCAACATGCAGCATAACTTGCTATGGATCATTGAACTGACAAAAAGGGACATGCTCGGTACTTGAATCTACAACAATCATATGGATATCGTATGTGGAATAGAGAAAAACCGGGAAATTCAAGAATGTCTCACAAAATCAGTACTCAAAAGGAAATGAAATTAGAAATTGAGTGATCTAAATCAATTGTCATAATATATCATTTCCAATTGCAAGAATTATTATCACATGTTTAATTTTCATTCATATGATAACTTGCATCCTTAGTAAGAAATCCAAATATTAAAGTTCATAATGCGTTCCATATGAAGCTTTTGGCTCATACCTTCGTAGCATTAGCTTATAGATGAAAGGATTTCCCATGTCAAATTTTCAGGGCATATGGAATTTTAGTATCATAAAAAACCATAAGCAAGAATAATCAAACAGCTTGGCAAATTCCCTTCCTATTTTCCTCTCTCTATCTCTCGCCCGCTTTCCCATTTATGATACATTAAAAATAATAATAATAAATAAAATGGGAAGAACAGAATTATGGTAAAGTCTTTTAGTAAGTATCCTTGTCACATTCTAAGCTTTTATCTTGATCCCATATTTAAAATATCTACCTAAATCAAACTAATAAATTTGGATGAACCGATCCTAACACATATTGATAGATTGCTTTAAAACTTAGAATCTATAAATTATAAAAGTACAACATCGAGTTCTTTCTCTTATCATTTTCTTACACTCATTTCACCACCAACAATTTATGTCCAAATAGCTAGATAATATTCCTTTCATAATAAGCAATAACATTAAAAACAACTGCATCTCCAAAATATATTTTGAGGATGGTTTTGGTGATTATTTGTTGTCATCCCATCCATCTAGCTGTCCACTGAAAGGTCCAATGAAATCAAATCCCTCTCAAACAACTTGTGCCATGATAATCTTGATCCGTTTCTCTCTCCACTTTCTTCAGCTAGAATCACATCATTTTTTAACATTGAAGTTCACTTGTGCATACGCGAAACATGTTTCAACCATCTAGTCATCCTTCCCTTAATAATTGACTGTGCCACCTCCATGATAGACCCCCGATCAAGTTCACCTATGCTAGAATGAAGAAAGGGATGGTCCGCAATGAGGAGGCAATCAGGGCAGCAAAATAGTTAATCAATTAGTTAGTGCAAGGGTATATTGAGAAATAGAGTCTGTTAGGTGGAGGGATGCAAATAAATGTTTGGGGGGGGGGGGGGGGGGGGGGGGGAAAAAAAAATTTTGGGGGGGGGGGGGGGTGAGGGGGAGCAAACATTCACATAGGGTCTTATAAAATTTCGTATCAGAGCAAACATCCTGGGAAAATGACAATCACAGATCGAGTGATTGCATTGGAAGAATGAATGGATGGAATCGGGGGAGAGGTGCAAGAGAAAATCAAAATCATGAGAGCAGAAATTCAAAAGGATCTATCAGTGATTATGGAGCAGTTCGAATTCATAAGGAAGAAATGGGAGGGGATGGAGATGAACCGTAAGGAGAAAAGGGTAGCATCTAGTTCAGCTGAACCCACTCTCGATTATGAGGTTCCGGCCAAGTTTACTAGAATGGGATCTAAGTTTGAAGACAGGGAACGCATGGAAAATCAAGAATAAATCCCATGAACCGAAAATGCTGATTTTCAATGGGGAAGATCTTGATGAGTGGATATTTAGAGCTGAGAGATATTTTACTACGGATCTATTATTGAAGCGAGACGGGTTTCACTGAAATGCAAATGCTAAGGCAACCTTTCACCAATTGAAGATTGCCATGACTGAGGTTCCAGTTCTTGCACTGCAGGACTTTTCTCAAGAATTTGTGATAGAGACGGATGCTTCAGGACATGGGTAATTCTGATGCCAAATCAACATCCGATTGCTTATTTCAGCCATATTTTACCCCAGAATGCATGAAGCAAATCGGTTTATGAGCGGGAGTTGATGGCTATTGTGTTTGCGATTCAAAAGTGGTGACATTCTTTAATGGGTCGACATTTTGTGGTGAATCTGGTGATGACGGACCAAAGGAGTCTGAAGTTTCTTCTTGAACAACGTATTGATAGCGATGATCATCAGAAGTGGTTGACTAAATTGTTGGGTTTTGATTTCGATATCCAGTATCGCCCCCTGGCCTTGAAAAGAAGACAGCCGATGCTCATTCGAGAATGGAGCCAATTCTGAACTTTTTATCGTTGTCTATTCCGTGGGCGCTACAGTTGGAAGAGATTAAGAAAGAAGTGGCTGAGGATGCCGAGTTGGGAGAGTTGGTAACGAGCCTACAATTTGGGCAAGTGCTCAAAGCCGGGTACTCATTGACGGACGGAATCTTACGTTACAGAGGGCATGTGGTATTGCCAAAAACCTCCCCTTTGGTGACGATCATGTTGAAAGAGTGTCACGATACTAATGTTGGAGGCCATTCGTGATTTTTAAAATCTTATAAACGGATTGAGAGGGATGTGTATTGGAAAAAAGGATGTTAGAGACTTCGTGGCTCAATGTGCAGTTTGCCAACAAAGCAGGTATGCAACGTTATCACATGATGGTCTCTTACAGCCTCTCCCCATTCCCGACTTAATGTGGGTGGATGTCTCGATGGACTTCATCGAGGGGTTACCGAAATCAGGAGGTTTAGACACGATATTAGTTGTGGTGGACCAATCGAGCAAGTATGAGCATTTCATTGGCTTAAAACATCCTTTCACTGCGCCCTCGATGGCAGATATGTTTGCTTGGGATATTGTTCGTTTGCATGGCATTCCTCATTCCATCGTCTAAGGCCAGGATCGGAATTTCATGAGTAAGTTCTGGGCGGATCTTTCAAGGCACAAGGAACGATTCTCAAGCATAGTACTACATATCACCCCCAAACAGATGCCCAACGGTGCCAGCATGTGAAGTAGGACAATGTGCTCCATGAGATTTGATATTTTACCTATTCTAATATGTCCATATATCAGCCGTCATAACATCCTTATTCTGCTACAATCATGTTATCTAATCAAATTACACCACTTCCACTTAACTTATTCTCAATTTGCTCCACCTCCACTTGGTGGTGTATATTGTACTTCATATTTTATTTAGAATCGATCATAAAATCATTATTTTTGCTACACTCGTGTCATCTAATTTGTTATGATGAAACTAAATGTGAATAAAAATACATTTTTGATCATTTATCGTGTCTAATGATACCATAGAACTCTTTCTTGCATTATAAAGTTCAAGCATTCCTGCAAAAACTTTTCCAAATTCTTCATTACAATACTCTATTACTATCAATTAGGACAGTGACAAACAAAGTTACACAGACTAAACGAATTTAATAAACAACCTTCTTATTCTTCCACATATACTATGCATTTTGTCCTCTAACAGAAGGTCAGACCCAAAAACCAGATCTTCATCTAGCTTTAATCTTACTTTCATTGTTCAAAGGCTCAAGTACTTCAACTAATCAGCAAGAAAAAGCATCATCCTCTAGCCCACTAGAATTTCCTGCTCCCCTTTTTCCTTTTTGGTAAGTAACCTAACACAATAATTCACAGAAACAGGCATTTGTACCTACTTTCAAATTTATCCACGATTCATCTAATGATCTAAATAATTTTCAATTCAGTAAACGAACTTTCTTTCAGCATTCCCTGCATTTGTTGGCAAATCTAGGAAACTTTAATCAGCTTTCCCTGTAATATTTGATATGCTCGCTAAAAAAGTTGATTTCCCGTTTTCCAATAAAATGTTTGGAACACAGGTCCCACGACCTTTCTCATTAGACCACATCAAGAAAATGGCTAAATTACAATCAGAAATATCATTAAAAACACGTACAATACGTGTGCAAAATTCTATAGGATAGGAAAAGTAAGCAACCAACTATTATTTCAATGCTTATTATTTCATTTCGACAATATATTCTTCATCTCAAAGAATTTGCTCTTCCAAACATCTTATTACACACTAATATCATCACTAAAATTACCAGACAAAATAATTGTTTTTGGAGTTCTAAGTTGGCCCTTCGAAAGACCACATTATGTAATTGTAAGTCCGGTTATGATCATATGCATCTCTACAGATTCACTTTCTTCTAATAAGTACAGCAATTTGTTCACATAGAGCATGTTAAGAGCAGCAACAAAACTATATGTAGGGAATATATCTTTGTAAGAGGTTGTGTTCTAAGCTCATCTGGCTACACCACAATAGACAAAAGGAGCAAATTGGCCCTAAGTTTAATCATAAGTTTGTCAAATTTATGTCTTAAATGTTATCTGCAAGTGAACAAAAAGCGAAAGGGTCTTAATTTTTATAGGAGCTTCTAGCGGTTAAAAAGAAATAATCACACACGGTCACCATGAATGAAAAGTGCTTTGAGACTAACATTTATCATAAAAAGAAATATCAACCATCATGGTTAAACAGGGCATACATAGATTATCGTTGAAGATATTTCACCTCAGCACTGTGTGTCTGCACCAGCAAGACCACTTCAGTCCTAGCATTGGCAAAACGCCACTGGAGGTGCCGATTATACAGAAGTCTCAACAGGTGGGCATCAGCAATCCAGTTCTTGCCTACTTTCCCTCTCTGAACATCAACAGCAAAACTAAGAACTGATGGTGTCTCATTAAATTTACTAGTAATGGTGCTAACAGCATTTCTGATACGAGATGGACTAATTCCCCGGGATGGAGATGATTCCACAGGCGTCATAAGCTTGCTCGGAGATGCAGGTCTAATACCTCCACGAATAGGGGATGACATTGTTCGTGAGGATGACAACGGACCATCACTTGCATACTTTTTCAACTTTGGCGGCACAATTAGTTTTGAACTGGGATTTGTGGATAAGGGCAAGCCTGGATCCTGCAACCTCCTCAGCCGACTATGGGTTTCTTGCCAAAACCTAGCCGAACCAACAATTCCACGAGGACCACTTCTTCCACGGAAATCCCCACCACTTTCTTGAACTTCGGAAGGGCTACCAGAAGAAACACTGTCCGAATCAGATGCAGTGAGATCAGATGGTACAGATGACTCATTATTAACCAAATTCCTATCCATAACTAGTTGAGCCGTCTTTAAAAGATCTGAATAGTCCAAATCAAGGCTCGACCTACCATCAAGTCTCGCCTTCCTCTCATCAATCATAGGTTGTTGAAATGCACGAACCACACTGCCAGATCCAATGAGCTTGCTCCTCTCTACACTGCAGCCGCTACAATCCGCACTCCTTGACAATGGATTCACCAACCGGTTCTTTGCCGGCCACATATGCTGATCAACATTCTTAGAATTATCTACTTGATCTCCTCCCCTCTTTCCTCTCAATGGAGTACTACTTCTCCTCCTCTCTGGTGTTCCCTTCCTCACACTACTCAAATTTGGCGAAGGCGGGGCAGCCTTAGTCTTACTAATTGGTAGCGAAAAGGCTTCACCTTGAAAGGAAACTGATAAACTCCGAGTAGAAGTGACCAGCAGCTTTGCAGCTGCTGAAACTTCAGTCAAATTCCCATGCTTGGAATCAAGATCAGGCGCTAAAGGCCTGGCAGCCACTGGCCTCCTCCGGTCTGCAGACACAGACCTCTTGGGGCATAAAGAAGGAATCTTGGACACCGGAGTCGAGTTCCTTGAAACTAAAGGAGAGGGATACCTTCCAGAAGAAGAGGAAGATGAAGAAATTGAGGATGAATTTGAAGTGGAAGTAGAAGTTGAAGTTGAAGTTGAAGGGGACATATATCTTGAAGAAACAATTCTTGATTTGGGTCTCTTGGTATTGTTTGAAACCCCATTTTTGTCCTCTTTTTCGGAAGACAATAATGGAGATCTTCTTGAAGATATGATTTTGGGGTTTTCAGAAACAGCAGCCACCATCTCCACAACCAAGAAATTACATACACATACAGAGTAAAGATATGGAAATTCACCATTCACATTGTGCTTTCAAACCAAAATACACTTGTCCAGAAGCCTTTTAATCATCACCATATGCAAACCTGCAAGAAAAATCAAGAAATCCCACTGTAACTCACGAAACCATAATGGGTCTTTGCAAGATTCCACATTTTTCAAGATTTCTTGGTATAATAGTAGTTTGTTACAGTTTCAGCTAATTTCCATAAAAAAAATTTGTGATTTCCCGGCCACAATTAAGTGAGAAAGAGGGACAGAAATGGTGTTGGGGAGTTGAGATTTAGGGGCGAAGATTTTTTCGTACATCACTAGCAGTGGCCAGTGGGCGCTGGGCAAGGTAGAGTAGGCGTTGGGTAGGGGGTGAACTTCCGAGAGTCCTTACGCTAACCAATGTCACAACTTTTCGTTTTATAGTCATTTTTCTAATAGTTTTAGGTTTTTTATTTTAAAAATTTATATTATAATGATGAGAATATTACATAACTGCTTACATGTTTTTGGTCTAAAGTCTAAACTCTTTTTTTTTTTTTTTTTGATAACCCAGGTGTCCCAGCTTAGCCGGACTAAATCCTGGACCTCTAGCCCCCGGCCCCTCAGTGACTAGTGAAGGTAAATCGCAGGTTGTGCCCTTGTTGGTTCCCAGGTTCCCACATGGCTTTTTACTCCTTCCCTAAAGGGACCCTCCTTCATGGTTATTACATCACCAAGCTGCTCCAACCCTTCCTCTGGTTATTACATCACTTGACTGCTCCAACCAGGAATCGAACTCCCCACACTTGATTCCAGAGCCCCCCAATGTGATTGTTCCGCCAACTTGGATGTGCCCTGGGGGGCGTCTAAAGTCTAAACTCGTTCGTAGGGTTGATGGGCTGTCTCAACTCCTCAAAGGAGAGGGATACCTTCCAGAAGAAGAGGAAGATGAAGAAATTGAGGATGAATTTGAAGTGGAAGTGGAAGTTGAAGTTGAAGTTGAAGGGGACATATATCTTGAAGAAACAATTCTTGATTTGGGTCTCTTGGTATTGTTTGAAACCCCATTTTTGTCCTCTTTTTCGGAAGACAATAATGGAGATCTTCTTGAAGATATGATTTTGGGGTTTTCAGAAACAGCAGCCACCATCTCCACAACCAAGAAATTACATACACATACAGAGTAAAGATATGGAAATTCACCATTCACATTGTGCTTTCAAACCAAAATACACTTGTCCAGAAGCCTTTTAATCATCACCATATGCAAACCTGCAAGAAAAATCAAGAAATCCCACTGTAACTCACGAAACCATAATGGGTCTTTGCAAGATTCCACATTTTTCAAGATTTCTTGGTATAATAGTAGTTTGTTACAGTTTCAGCTAATTTCCATAAAAAAATTTGTGATTTCCCGGCCACAATTAAGAGAGAAAGAGGGACAGAAATGGTGTTGGGGAGTTGAGATTTAGGGGCGAAGATTTTTTCGTACATCACTAGTAGTGGCCAGTGGGCGCTGGGCAAGGTAGAGTAGGCGTTGGGTAGGGGGTGAACTTCCGAGAGTCCTTACGCTAACCAATGTCACAACTTTTCGTTTTATAGTCATTTTTCTAATAGTTTTAGGTTTTTTATTTTAAAAATTTATATTATAATGATGAGAATATTACATAACTGCTTACATGTTTTTGGTCTAAAGTCTAAACTCGTTCGTAGGGTTGATGGGCTGTCTCAACTCCTAACTCTTCATCAGCCACCACAAATTTGTTAGTTAACTATTAATTTTAATAAGGGACCCTCCTTCATGGTTATTACATCACCAAGCTGCTCCAACCCTTCCTCTGGTTATTACATCACTTGACTGCTCCAACCAGGAATCGAACTCCCCACACTTGATTCCAGAGCCCCCCAATGTGATTGTTCCGCCAACTTGGATGTGCCCTGGGGGGCGTCTAAAGTCTAAACTCGTTCGTAGGGTTGATGGGCTGTCTCAACTCCTAACTCTTCATCAGCCACCACAAATTTGTTAGTTAATCTAACTATTAATTTTAATAATATAATATCAACTCCTAACTCTTCATCAGCCACCACAAATTTGTTAGTTAATCTAACTATTAATTTTAATAATAATAATAATAATAATAATAATAAAAGGCAAAGTTTTATTGTACATTGAAGTTGACAATATAGTTTTTTTTCCACTGTTATATATTAAATTAAGGTTAATATAGAAAATTTTGATGCTAAAAATATTTTTATAAGCATCGAATAACAATTAATGAAGATCTAAACGAGGTTTTCCATTTACATATTTGGTATTTGCTACGGGATGCAATGTCCCGTTCACTTTAGTCTATCCCACTTGCTTTTGTCGCAAAATTTTTACAATTTTCCCTTTTTTTTTCTTTTTTTTTTTTAATGGAAAATGGCCCGAATGTTCCCTTTTCAATGATCTTTGAGATACGGTTATGAGATTTTCTAAAGTACCAATTGAACATTTATGGAGGATTTGATTTTTGGTGGTTTTTTGTGATTTCCCGGCCACAATTAAGAGAGAAAGAGGGACAGAAATGGTGTTGGGGAGTTGAGATTTAGGGGCGAAGATTTTTTCGTACATCACTAGTAGTGGCCAGTGGGCGCTGGGCAAGGTAGAGTAGGCGTTGCGTAGGGGGTGAACTTCTGAGAGTCCTTAGGCTAACCAATGTCACAACTTTTCGTTTTATAGTCATTTTTCTAATAGTTTTAGGTTTTTTATTTTAAAAATTTATATTATAATGATGAGAATATTACATAACTGCTTACATGTTTTTGGTCTAAAGTCTAAACTCGTTCGTAGGGTTGATGGGCTGTCTCAACTCCTAACTCTTCATCAGCCACCACAAATTTGTTAGTTAACTATTAATTTTAATAATAATAATAATAATAATAATAAAAGGCAAAGTTTTATTGTACATTGAAGTTGACAATATAGTTTTTTTCCACTGTTATATATTATATTAAGGTTAATATAGAAAATTTTGAAGCTAAAAATATTTTTATAAGCATCGAATAACAATTAATGAAGATCTAAACGAGGTTTTCCATTTACATATTTGGTATTTGCTACAGAAACTTTTCATCTAGATTTTCACAAATTATAACCGACAGAACTAGAAGTTGAAATAAATTTTTAAAGGGTGTCCAATTCATCGTAGGATTTTGATTGAAGTTTACATCCCACTTGCTTTTGTCGCAAAATTTTTACAATTTTCCCTTTTTTTTTTCTTTTTTTTTTAATGGAAAATGGCCTTGTGCTCGAATGTTCCCTTTTTAATGATCTTTGAGATACGGTTATGAGATTTTCTAAAGTACCAATTGAACATTTATGGAGGATTTGATTTTTGGTGGTTTTTAGTAGTTATATTTAGAGACAGCAATCGGGCTCGTTGGCTCGAGCAGCTCGTGGCTCGACTCGAAAAAAAACTCGAGGCCGCTCGGCTCGAGACTCCGATCAAGGCTTGGGTCGAACCTCATTTTGAGGTGCCGAACAAAGCCCAAGTCAGCCCGTGTGGCTCATCAGCTCGAGCTTACAAGATATATATTTATTTATTTTAAAGACGGCAGCACGCTACCTTATTTAAGGTAGCAGGTTGCTGCCTATGTTTAAAAAAAAATCAGAAAAATACCAGTCGAAAACTCGGGTCGAGCTTTTACTCGACCCTGCTCAAGCACGAAAAAAAAGCTCAATCATTTTACTCGAGGCCAGCTTGAGCCTAAAATTTTGGCTCGCTAGTTGGCTCGGCTCGTTTACATCCCTAACTATATTTTAAATTTGTTCAACTTATATTTAAAAGTTTATTATTCATCAATTCTACGAGTGAGCATTTTTTTCTGGAATCGATGGAACCGGATCGAAATCATTTAGAACTGGCCAGTTCGGTTCCGGTCTTCCGAATCTTCTAAACAACGATTTGATTTTGGGACAAATTATTAAGAATCAACCGTTTCTAGTTAGATTCCCTGTTCTGGTATAGGAACCGTCGAGAACTGGACGATTTTCACATGATTTTATTTATTTATTTATTTTTTTGGTAAAATATATACTCATTCAGTCATTCTCCAATCACTTTTATAAAAAATAATCGTATTCCTTCTTCATTTTAGACTCCAGCACTTTCCTTTTCTTTGACTCTTTGATTCTCTCTTCTTATAATTTTTTAATTAATTGATTCTCAAGTCAAGTTAGAATATTGAGTAAATCTATATCTAAATAAATTTATTTACAATATATGATTTCATTTCTAAGATACTAAATTTTTATTTTGTTTTCATTTTGATTACATAGTTATTGATCCGATAGAAACTTTTCATCTAGATTTTCACAAATTATAACCGACAGAACTAGAAGTTGAAATAAATTTTTAAAGGGTGTCCAATTCATCGTAGGATTTTGATTGAAGTTTATTTAATCATTGGAGTACTATGTAGTTTATATAAGTTGATGATTGCTTGATAATTGTAACTTATATTATTTGGATATTGTTTTTAAATTTGTATACTTAGTTTTCTTTTACTTTTTGAACAGTAAGTTTGATTTTTTTATATTTTGTTAAAAATACCACGTTGGTAATATCTCTAGAGTTTTTATTAGTGAACATTTATTTTGACATTTTTAATATAAAGAATCGAATCGAACCGAACGGAAACAAATTGATTCGATTCCATAGTTAGCTATGGAATTAATGGTTCTATTTCTAAAATTCTAATTGATATTCAGATCGGTTCAGTTCCCTTTGAAATCAGACCGAGTTGGACTGCGTCCACTCCTAATCAATTCTAGAAGTTTTTAAAAAGAAAAGAAATTGCAAATATACCCCTTAATGAATTTTGATTTATAACTTCTTGTTTGAAATTTTTCTCGTGAATTTTAGGATTGGGCAAAATTCCCGAACTGAACTAAATCGATCCAGACTTGAATCGAAAAGAATCGAGTGATTCTTCTTAAATTAAATATCCGAGCAGATATCAGAATCGAGAACCAACGAGTTCAGTTCAATTCTTAGTTCTAGATCAATAATCGAATAAGAGCCGAATCTTCTTATTTTTATAATTTATTTATTTTAAATAAGTCAAATTATTTTATTTTTCTAAATAAGTCTACTAACTAGTTAATTTAGTTTAAATCCAAAAATATAATTTTCCTATTTCTAATTTTCAGTCAAAACTCAACTTAATCAAATTGACATAAGTTTTACCCAAATTTGTTATTCTACAGTATTGCCTTTTTATCGTTATGGAGAAATCGAATTGAAATTTGACAGCGTCTCTCTAAATTACTGTGAGTTTGCTATCTTCTTTTTCCTGTGATTTTAATAATCAAAATTATGAAGAATTTAGCTAAGAGAGACACGAAAAACACATAAAACTGTACTACGTTATTTTGTAAGAGTTAAGATTAAACATATCATTAGTAAAATTAATGTAGTTTTATAAATATTAAAAAAATTAATTATAGTACAGAACGTGATTACCGAATTGAATGGAATCGAACCCGAATAGTTTCATAATTAAATTTGGACCTAACGGCTCAACTTATTAAATACCCAAAAATTTCGGGTCCAGTTTGATTCTTGTTAAAATCGAATCAAACCGGATCATACCCAATCCTAGTAAATTCTACCTACAAGTAATTCTTACATATAAGTTAAATTCGAAACTTTTCATCTAGATTTCCACAAATTATAACCGACAGAACTAGAAGTTGAAATAAATTTTTAAAGGGTGTCCAATTCATCGTAGGATTTTGATTGAAGTTTATTTAATCATTGGAGTACTATGTAGTTTATATAAGTTGATGATTGCTTGATAATTGTAACTTATATTATTTGGATATTGTTTTTAAATTTGTATACTTAGTTTTCTTTTACTTTTTGAATAGTAAGTTTGATTTTTTTATATTTTGTTAAAAATACCACGTTGGTAATATTTCTAGAGTTTTTATTAGTGAACATTTATTTTGACATTTTTAATATAAAGAATCGAACCGAACCGAACCGAACGGAAACAAATTGATTCGATTCCATAGTTAGCTATGGAATCAATGGTTCTATTTCTAAAATTCTAATTGATATTCGGATCGATTCAGTTCCCTTTGAAATCAGACCGAGTTGGACCGCGTCCACTCCTAATCAATTCTAGAAGTTTTTAAAAAGAAAAGAAATTGCAAATATACCCCTTAATGAATTTTGATTTATAACTTCTTGTTTGAAATTTTTCACATGAATTTTAGGATTGGGCAAAATTCCAGAACTGAACTAAATCGATCCGGACTTGAATCGAAAAGAATCGAGTGATTCTTCTTAAATTAAATATCCGAACAGATATCAGAATCGAGAACCAACGAGTTCAGTTCAATTCTTAGTTCTAGATCAATAATCGAATAAGAGCCGAATCTTCTTATTTTTATAATTTATTTATTTTAAATAAGTCAAATTATTTTATTTTTCTAAATAAATCTACTAACTAGTTAATTTAGTTTAAATCCAAAAATATAATTTTCCTATTTCTAATTTTCAGT